GGGAGGGAGGGAGGGAGGAGGAGGAGGAATAACAATAATACCAATAATAATAATATTGATAATAATAATAATACTACTACTACTAATACTAATAAGACGAATAATAATAATCATAATAATAATACTAATACTAATAATATTAATATTAATAATACTAATAATAATGATACTAATAATAGTAATAATAATACTGATAAAGAAGAATAGCACTACTAATAATAATACTAATAATAATAATAATAGTAAGAATAATAAGAAGAATAATCCTATTACTAAGACGAAGAATAATACTAATTAGAATACAAATAATAAGAATCATAATAAGAAGAAGACTAAGAGTACTAATACTAATAATAAAAAACGTAATACTAATATTGATAATAATAATAATGGCACTAATACTACTACTACTAATAATAATACTAATAATACTAATACTAATAATAATACTACTACTAATAATAATAGTAATAATAATAATAATAATAATAATAATAATAATAATAATAATAATAATAATAATAATATTAATACTAATAATAATAAGAATAAGAATACTAATAATAATAATAATAAGAATAATAAGAAGAGGAGGAGGAGGAGGAGGAGGAGGAGGAGGAGGAGGAGGAGGAGGAGGAGGAGGAGAGGAGGAGGGAGGGGGAGAATGCGGAGGAGTTTTCGGTGCTCGGGTCGATCTAGTTCGGCTCATCGGCTCGACCCCGGGGTGCCCGCAGGTCGCGCGGCGCCGGGCGGCGCCGGGCGCGCGGCGCCGCGCGAGCGCGCGGCGCGCGGCGCGCGGCCGCGCGGACGGCCTCCCGCTCCGATGGCGGCCCCTGCCGGCTCAGGGGGGGGGAGGGCGGGCGGGCGCTGGACGGCTGCCTTCGACGGGGCCAGGCGCCAGGGGTGGGAGGGACCCAGTCTGGACGTGCATAGGACGAGGATACAAACCCGTTCCAAAGCGTTTCGGGACGCTCTCAGGGCGTTTCCGAACGCTCAGAGAAGGCCGCGGCGCCCGAGACATCCTCCAGAGCCGCCGGATCTCAGAGATTCTCGATCTATCCTCACCCGATTTTGTCTTCGTCCTGGCTTCGTCTTAAGGGGCGGGAGGAGCCCAGACTGGAGCCGTCTGGAGATCTGGGGGCTCCCGGGGCGTCTCCAATCGGGGCTCACGTACCAGGACGGTCGGGCCGATCGATGTATAAGATCGAGGTCGGTTCGGGGAGGGTCGCCTGATGTTCTTCGTTTTTGTTATCTGTTCTTGTGCATCAGAAACATGGTGTGTGTATGTGTGTGTGTGTGTGTGCCTTGAGTGGGCTCGGGGGGAGCCGCGCAAAAGGCGTGGCCGCCCTCCGGGGTGCGATGACGTGAGGTGGTGTACAGTTTGCTGCAAGCCCATGAATTCAGGTTGGTCCCCTGATTGCTGGTAGGGGTGCCACACCCGCGACCAGCAATCGGGAGGAGGAGGAGGAGGAGGAGGAGGAGGAAAAGGAGGAAGAGGAGGAACAGAAAGAGCAGGAGGAGGAGGAGGAGGAGGAGGAGTATGAGGAGAGGAGTATGGGAGGAGGAGGAGAGGGGAGGAGGAGGAGGAGGAGAGGGGAGGTGGAGGAAAAGAAAGGGGAGGAGGATATGAGGAGGAGGAGGCCGGAGGAGGAGGAGGAACAGACACAGGAACAGGACAGAACAGAACAGACATGGGCAACCGCGAACAGGACAGCAGGAGGAGGAGGAGGAGGAGCAGGGGGAGGAGGAGGAGGAGGAGGAGGAGGAGGCGGATAACGCTTCATCCGTTGCATTAAGTCCGCGCAGCGTCAAGAAGAAGAGGAGGAGGAGGCCTCTGGCGAGCAGCTGGCTCCTGGCAGGCCATGGCGGGCCACCCTGCTCGCCCCGGCGGCGCCGCGGCGAGGCTGTCTGCGCCCTCGCGGGGCACGGTGCTCAGGCGCGGCCCGGCCCAGCAGCTGGCCCCGGCCGCCGCCGCCGCCGTCGTCGTCGTCGTCGTCGCCGTCGTCGTCGTCGTCGCCGTCGTCGTCGTCGTCGTCGTCGTCGTCGCCGCCGTTGTTATCCCAGATCTCCGACGGTGCAGGGCTCACTTCGATTCCTCTGATTCGCTTCGGTTCGATGCCGACGGCATCCCAGATCTCCGACGACGCAGGTCTCGCTTGGATTCCTCTGGTTCGACTCGATTCGATGCCGATAGCCGCCGATTCCGATTCGACTCGACTTCGGATTCCGATCCGGATCCCGATTTCTCAACGGAGGCCTCCAGGCCTGCCGATTTTCGCCGATGCGACTTCTCTTTGTCTCGGCCGCCGATGACCGGCTCGTCGATTCGGTTATGTGATCTCCGACGATGTGATTTTTCGATCTGGGCGTCTTTCCTCGATGCCAGCGCCCGGGGCCGGGGACCGGGCCGGGGAGGAGCGCGTGGCGAATAGCAATACGAAAACGGCTGGTCGCAGAGTAGAGGGCCCACGGGGGCACAGGACATCAGTGTCACACTCAATCTTTGCAGCGGATTGAGTGCCCTCCTCCTCGGTCTCTGCATCCGACCGTCTGTATATTTTTTGTTTGTTTGTTTGTTTGCTCGCTCTCTGGGGACTCTCCAGCGACTTCCTTCGGGCTGCGGGCAGCCATCGTCGCCCCCCTCCGCTGGCTGAGCTCGGCTGACTGAGTCCGTGGTCCTCGACCGACCGACCCCCCGCCTCTCCACCGATGCGACCCACTCGGCTCTAGCAGTGAGCTCCGAGGGGCGCCCCCTTTCCCCGCGGGGGGGGCCCACTGGGGGAGCTCCACCGCGGCCGATGACCGTGCTCGGCGTCCTGGGCCGCGTCCTGGCGCTTGCCGCTGGCGCCGTTGGTGGCGGGATCTACCCGGACGGCCACTGGGACCTCTGCACGCAGGTCACCGCCGAGAACGCGAACGACTTCGTGAAGGCCCCGAGAAAACGAAGACCACATGCATATATATATATATATATATATAGATATAGATATATGTATATATATATATATATATATATGTATACACCCAGATATCCGGCGGCACGATTTCTTCAATCTGGGCGTTATCCTCGATTTCCGCCCACGGGGCCCGTTATTCCGAAACGAGACCAGCCTTTGGGGACGGGGTGGCAGCGCATCGAACAAATCACATCGTCGGATGTCTGGGTGCGCTTCGGACCCCCGCGGGCGCGCAGACCCGCTCGCCGCAGCCCTGGGCGCGCAGGGTTTTGGCGCTGGCCGAGCAACCGTCCGCGGACGTCTGAACGCTGATGTTTGTTTGTTTGTTTGTGTGTGTGTGTGTTTGTGCGTGGTTTGTTAGTGTGTGTGTGTGTATGTGTGTGTGCGTGTGCGTGTGCGTGGTTTTTGCCACCCCCCTCCTCGCGGCGCTGCTCCCGAGTGGCCGTGCAGCGCGGGCCCCTGTGGGTGATGAGCCCGGCACGCCCCCGCTGCCGCCGAGGTGGACCCGCCGCGCGCACCTCCAGCAGCTCGCCTGACTCCGCCGCGCAGCTGCCCGCGTGGCCGCGACGCCCAAAAGTGTGTGAGTGTGGAAGAAGGAAAAACGCCATAAACATAAACTTTCGGCGATCCGCGAGTAGCGCCAAAAGTTTATGTTTATGGCGTTTTTGTTCTTCTTCTATGTGTGGCTTTCTGGTCCTCTGAGGCCACCGTGGACTCGGGCAAGACCCTCATCGTCCGGACCATAGCCTCGGAGGGCTGAGGCTGATGAGTGAAGCAGGCGCCCGCCTGGAACGCGGTGACACAGCTGTTCAAGGCCAGCGGGCCGCCAAACCTCGTTGCCCCCAGCTCCGGCCCGCTCTGGGCCCCAGGGCTGGACGAAATTGGCGGCGGTGGTGGGCAAAGGCTGGGCTGCACAGACCTCTGCGCTCGGCCGGCTTCGGTCCGCCCCCGCGCTGCTCTCCACACAACGCGTCGCCGCTCTCTTGGCGCCCAGGGGGCGCCCGAGAAGCCAGCGGCGCGCAGCGGATTCGCTCCCTCCCCCCCCCTCCGTTCTACTGCCCCCCCTCCGTTTTCGTCTACCCCGAGGATCGATCCAGCTCGAGGCATCCCGCGGAAGGGTGCGGGACTGGAGCCCTCCAGCGTCCGTCGTCGACGTTTTTTTCGTGACATGGGCCTCCGGGCCGCTCGATCCCGTCTCGGGGACCGGCTTTTCGCCTTGCGTGGCTTCATGATGTCCCTGGGGGGGCCCGAAATCGGGTCTCCAAGGGCCCAGAATTTGCAACAAACCTTGACGCCTCGATTTTTTCGGGCGGCTGTCACCGAGGCCCGAGAAGCTACGTATCCGCCGCTTGGGCCGGGCAACCGATGTCCAGGGACTTCAGGAGGCAGTAGATTGTGCCCCTTCTGGACCTCCACGGCGGCTGGCATATTAGGACCATCTCCCTCGAGAATGGGGTCTTCCCCTGATGGCAGGATCCGCCGTCACCACCGCCGGCGGCGTCATCAGCGGTCCGCTGTGACGCCCGCGCGAGCCTGCAGAGTTCGCCTCTGCTCCTCCTCCTCCTCCTCCTCCTCCTCCTCCTTTCCCCCCCTCTGTGCAAGACTGATGCTCCGCGCCCACCGCCGGCGGCGTCATCAGCGGTCCGCTGTGACGCCCGCGCGAGCCTGCAGAGTTCGCCTCTGCTCCTCCTCCTCCTCCTCCTCCTCCTCCTCCTTTCCCCCCCTCTGTGCAAGACTGGCTGCGCCCTGATCTGACTGGGCTCGAAGATGCCACAAGAAAGGCGGCGGATTGAGCATATTCTGGGCTCCTGCGGACAAGACGCTGAGAAGAGCAACAGGGCGGGTTCGGAAGGGGCTCTTGCTGTTCCTCAGGTCCTTGCAGGGTTGTTCCTTTTGCGCTGCTCGTGCGGCCATGCCAGCTGCTGTTGGGCAAAGGGGGCTTTGCTCCTCCTTTCGCGTTCCTTACGGCAGTAGCTCGACTGGAGGGCTCAAATAATCATTTCCAGATCCACCGACGCTTGAGTCCTGGAGTCCTGTTGTCCT